CAATTCGAAACTCGCCTCCATATTGCTTACTGAATATAAACGACTTGGCTTGGACACGCTTGGCGACTCCGAAGTCATTTTTGCGAAGAACAATAGCATTATCCCCATCAACATTGTAAAAAGCGACTGTTTCATAAAGAGTTGCAAGCTCGAAGTATTTAACACCAAGAGTGAAGTCTCGAACATCAATTTTATCCATCCGGAAAACAAAATGCACTGCAAAAACAAACGAATAGAGTGCATTTACACAAATATTTTCGACCTTTGTGATAGAAAAAGCCAGACTCTGATGCTGTGTATTCCTTGTAAGTTTCTACGGATATTTATTTTCAGCAAACTGGCTAACAAGTCATTTCAATTTGATAACCTGTTCGTACAAACTAAAAGTGACTGTGGAGTATTTTAAATATCCAGACCTAAATACCGTAAGTCAGTTACGTATACCTTCTTTAGATATGTGATCAAATTGATTTTATTACAGATTTAATAATTCTTGTTTAATTGCAGGAAAAAAATCTTTATTTTGAAATTTGTAGAACCATAGAAAGTATTTAATAATGGGTAATGATACAAAATATTGAGGACAGCAATGTAGAAAACATGTCTTCACTTGAATCAGACCAAAGAGTTAATGAGATTTATATACAGGACCGAAATCCAGTAAATGTAAATTACTACCCTGAGTACAAAGAAAGTCAGACTTTCCCTGACTTTCAGAAAATCCCTCAAATAACCAAGGACCCACAATATGAACAATACAACATACCCGGAAATTTAAACAAAATGAAGTACGAAATCGTTAATGAAGCTGTAAAGAAGTTCAACCAGATCAAACTCATGAGCACACCAATTCCACCAGGACCTATTTTTTTGGCTATTCCAGACCTTATGCGGCACGTTCCTTTCCACAACATTAATTTAACCACAGCAAGCGCGAACCCAAATGTTTTAACGAACTTAAAATCACCTAATACGTTTGTTCCAAGTTCTCCTTGGTACATGCATGACGAACCCAGGTCTGCCATTATCAGATGGTTTTTGGCTTTTTCAAACATCCGAGTTAGCAGTTTGAGCATTACCAAATATGTCTTTGCATTAATTCGCAAACTTTATTTGTATGATATTCAAGACCAAGAACGAGTATTGTTAGACCAAACTCAACAAATGATATATTTGTCGAACCGGGCGAAAAAACTTCAAACTGTTGTGCCGCAGTTTTACAAAGCCAATAAAACACCTCCAAACTTTAATAACAGTCTTCTTTACTTTGCCGCTTTTGCGCCTTTTTCCGATAAAGCATTCTACAAAAACTTTTTTGACGACTTGTTTCATGTCAACAAGACGTTAAAACCCGTTTACGATACCGCCGATTACTGGTATATTTTACAGAAAAATTTACAAACAACTGTGGCAACTAAAAATCTTTCTAACATGACTCTGCTGCCTACTTGCATAGAGTTAGATTATTACTCTTCTACTGTAGTAGGGTTAGTTTCGCTCATTTTTAAATATTACGTCGATGCCATCATTAACGTAATAATTAGACGATCACAAAAAACTCAGGACGACAACGTATTGAATATTACAAAGATTTATGAAGCAGCCTTGCTAATAAAATCATTTTCGTTCCCAGGATCCCGCTTACACCAAAAATACAGCGGCAGTTTTTAAACAAGCAAAAATCAAATTAATTTCCCGAGCTGCTAATAAAATCAAATTATTAAATTTTGCTCTCGGACCAGCTATTGAATGATTACGAAATCCTCATGTATATTACTACATTCTTAATATATTTGTACGATATTGTTTTTACTTACGTTTAACATGAGGTTTACACGCTCTTTTCAAGATATTTTCTATCGATCTGTGGTTCTAGCAGACACTGTGCATAGATCTGCCAAAGTGAGCTTTGAATTAGGAACCGTTTTAGTTACGCACTGTTTTAGCACACCAGTATCTTTTTTTAACAATTTCTTAGCAAAAAATAACTCTGTCTTACCAGTATCTGAGGAGTCCGTCCAGAACAAATCAAAACACAGATATTCTCCGTCCAATCATAGTTTACGATTTAAATTATTTCGTACAGCCCTGGGAAGTTGGGGTGGACCTAGCATTAAATTTTTACAATGGGCTAGCGTTCGCAGCGACCTCTTCAATTCTGATGAAATAAAAGCTTTAGAAAAATTCCACATGCACAATTCATCTGATCCTTTTCCGTTCATTTACTATAAATGTTGTGAAGCATATGGAAAAGCGACACAACTTGAAGATTTAAAACAACATAAAAAAAAATTTGTTGATATCTCTCTATTTGGAAGAATTCGAAATAGCACGTTTACATTCTACGTTTATTCACAGCCTTTTTTCAAAAAATCTCAACGTATAATCGCAAAGCTTGAACTAAGCTCTATAACAAACAAACTTTTTCGGAGGCACAGTGAACCAAAACCGCCGCTAGTTTGCTGCTCGTCCATATCAGCAGGCTCTATTGCCAATGTAAATAAAATACTGCTTCCAAATGAAAAAAAAGGCTATGAAGAACACATTTTCAAATGTATTACTAATGACGTGTTGACTTTTGCCAAGCGAGATTTACTGATTTTTCAAACGATCACCGACATAGCAGATTATTTTTACCGTAAATACTCCGATAGCTTTGAGGTGAAAGTAGCTGCAGACCTGTTTAGCGCTGCGTTGCAGGCAGAACTAGATTTTGAGCACGAAACTCAGAACTTGATCAAGTTCAACCAGAATTTCCGCTCTGTCAGGAGAATAATTAAAAACTACTTGTTTGGTTACAGAGTAAAATTTCCTAGCCACGTATCCAGTTGGTGTAGCAAAAACTGGATGGTTCAGAAATACATAAAAGGCGATGTTTTAAGTGACTTTTACGATAACTTAAACTCCAAGTCAAAGCATAAAATAGCAAAAGCATTGGCACACACTTATTTCACTATGTTGTTTCAAGACAACTTCATTCATGCCGACCTTCATCCTGGAAACATAATCGTCAAACATCGCTCGAAGCTCGGTAATTTTTTCCCTTTAAAATTTTACCTCATCGACACAGGTTATACCATCACGCTAAGCCCAAGAAATCGGTTCTGCTTTTTTTTAATTATGAAAAATCTGATCGAACAGAATTTTCATTTAATAGGTAAATACATCGTGATTCACTCTTGTGTTAACTCGTTTCAACAGAGTGAAAATTTCATTCAGGATGTCGAGCACCTTTTGAATGAAAAGCTAGAAACTCATCAACACAAATATCAAACCAACATTTGCGATTTAAACCTAGTAGATTGCGTCTTTGGCATGTTAAAATTCGCCATAAAAAATAATGTATCTCTTTCTTCTGAACTGGTAAACGTGGGTTTATCTTTCACGGTCATCGAGGGTATTTGTAAATCTATGTTTAAAAGAATATATCTGTTCCCCATTGCAGCATCATTAATTAGAAAAAATTACAAGTAAGCGTCAACGTGATTATTCAAGCAAGATTTTTTTAGCTTGAACAATTAAAGAAGCCAAATAGTTTGAGCCTGAAAGTTTTTGAAATTCGTTTAACTTACCTCCAGTGTCAGGATGGTTTTTTTTCATCAGATGGTAGTAGTTTTTCATAATAGTTGATCTGTTAGCAAAACTTGACACGTTCAAAATCCTCAAAGCTGTTTGGTAATTCATTTCATTATTTTGATTTATTCCAGTAATAAAAAAACGGCTAAATAAATTGTTTCTACCGCTATTGAACCTCGACTTTGACTTATTTAAACAGAATATTTGCACAGCAGAACAAATACCAAAAGCTGTAATTAGAGCAGCCTGCGTTTTGCTTAACTGCAAGTTTAAATTCATTGAAAAATTATTGCTTATTTTATATTATTATTTAGAACCCAAATTCAAGTCACATGATGTAGTGTTTCTCAGATCAATAGTTTATGAAACTAAAATATTTTCAAAAATCCAAAAAATCAGAGGGTAGCTATAATTCGCACAAACTTCGAGGTAAGTAGGGTATAAATTTAACTTCCTTATAGATTTAGAACTGCTACAGTTGCGAATTACTTTTTTGATGACGCAATGTGAAGCTGAAGCAGCAGCCAACGATGAGTTAAAACAAATAGAGCAGTAAGTTACACGTTAATTTTTTATTGATAGTCTTGAAGCAGCTATTTATGCTCAAATTATTGAAATTAAAAAAAAAATCGCTGACAAACACACCGAACAATGTACAAATGGAAATAATATAAAAGTGATAACGCTGACGTACGACATAAAGAATTTGATTGATGTTGCAAAAAACAACGCTAAACTGTTCACAGAATTCAAAAAGTCCGTGACTGATGAAGAATTAAAAACTGAACTCGACATAGAAAACAGAACTAACTTAATCAATTTGCAAATCAAAGAGTGCGAAATGCTCTGTGATTCCTCAGCTGACTATTCCACAGAAATAGTAAAAACATTGACAGATTTCATCAGTCAGATGAACTACATGAATATAAAACCTAACAAACACTTTGCGAACAGCGATCATAAATGGGCAAAAAAGACAGAAACCGAACTTGAAACATTAAAAAATTGGAAACAACGTGACGAGGAAATCAATGCTCAGATTCTCAAGGTTGGAGAGCAGTTAGATAACATCGAGAATATATTTGTCTCGATCGAAAAACAGTCCAGCGAGCAAGCCAAGCTTGTAGCGCAAGCAAGCACCAAATCCGAACTTGTTTCAGCCAAGCTTTTAGATTTAGAGCACAAATTAGATAAACTGATACTGTCTTATAGAACGTTCAACTTCACACTCAAGTTCCTGCTAAGCGTGATTATTATTATTATTGCGAATTCTTGCGCAAAGCTCATTTCAAAGCATTTTTAATACAAACTAATTAGTTTCATGTATATATTAGATAAGTGGATAAAAGACAAGAATAAATTACTACTTCAATAGATCTATAAGGAAAAAGTGTTCAACTCCAATTAAAGTTCACATTATTGGATTAATTCACGGAATCCAAATGCTGTTTTACAGAGAGATTTAAAGCTTGAATGCTATTCCAAGGATGTGGAAGTTCGTCCGCGGGATTTGGCGAGAACTCTTCCGCTTGTTTTTGCGTTATTTTGACTGACTTAGGCGTAGGATGGAAATACGAAGATAAGGCAGAGCCGTGAAGTCTGAAAAATTCCGGTGAATACATGTTGTGGATTTCTGTAGTAGGACAGTTCATCCATTGAGACTGAAGCCATGTTGTTATTAGAGGATGATTTCCATCGATAGGAAGCACGTTATCGAATATTTCTTCTTCGTTTTCTTCTTGTGTTTTTTTGTCTTGTGCTTGTAACACAGAACACCAGTGGTTGTCATCGGGTTGCACTTTAAGACTTGGGTCAACTCGCATCTCTGGAGGCAGTTTACCACCGTGTTCTTCTTTATATACTTCAAGTTGATCAGCGGCCGCTCGCATCCATAAGGCTTGCATATCAGCTTTACTAAAGGTGCTAGGGTTGATAAGGTTAACATTGATATCTTTTTCAATAACCTGTAAAGAAATATCCACTGGAACTGGAACTAGCTTGTCTTCAACTACTAAAACTGGTTTTTCTCGAGTGCATTTAACACCATATACGTCTGTAGTAAAAGAAAGTTTGGGAGTAACTTGTCTACGAACTGCGATCGGCACGAAGCTATCGACAAATTTGAGAACAGGAACTTCTATCGGAATGCACACGGCTTTTGGCACTGTGAAAGGAACTGGAACGTCGATGGTGATTGGTTCATCGCTACTAGAAATAAAACCAATTAAGTCGGGTTTTTCATTTGTGTTGCTCACATCGTTCGTAGGCTTTTTTTCATTTTTCGATTGATCTTCATTTTGTAACTGACCTTGCATCTCAGGCGAAGCTTTATCCAAATCTTCAAAGCTGACATCATCAGGCATATATCGCGTGATTGTTTCCAATAAAGAGTCAGATTCAACATAGCGAATAACTTCTTTAACGGCTGGAACTTTGACTTCTTTTGTATTCCACTTCAAACGTGGTATTGTAACATCTAAAATGCGTTCTTTAACATCGAATTTAGGAACGTATTTCATGACTTTTCCAACTTCTTTATATTCCGGCACATATTCATCTATTATTTGCATTGAGTTTATTGGGATTTCATTAACTCGCTCTTTTAGAACCATTTTTGGTACTTCATAATGGTAAGTAATTTTAGTTGTTTCAGGCTCCATATCAAGTAAATACACATCAGTAGGGATTTTAACAACATCCTCTGTAATTTCTATGTCTCTCTTGACTGCAACATACTCCTAAGGGAATATCCTTAACATTATTTGTGAACTTACAGATTTTTTGCTGGAGCGACTACTGTCAAGATATTTTTGTTCTAGATGTTCTGTTTCGTGGATTTTTACAGATTTATGGACATTATTATGTTTTTGATTGTTCATTGTTAAATTTATGTGGAGCACATGTTGCATGCGCCGGCAAGAAGAATGCAAGTTTTTTCATCTATTCGTTAAGATAGCACAACGAGATAAACCATGAGTGATCATCAGAATTCTGACCATGAAGAACCTAAAGCAATTAATGGTCTTCCGTTTGTCTCAGATATTAAAGCACCACCACGGCAATCTGTAAGTGCCAAACAGTCAAAACTCCTTTAGTCAGAAAGAACTGAACAAAAAGAATACATAGAACATTTAATCAAGCAATCTATTCCGCATAAACAAATAGAACATCAATTTATAAGCAAAGAGGTAGAAGTTCCCAAAGATGTTGTCAAAACTGTTCCAATTGTCAGCACGTTGCACAGAAAACTGGTCGTCGAAAAACCAGTATACAACATCGATACAATTGAAGTACCACAAACGCATATTGTCGACAGAATCCACGAAACTTTCAACGACATAGAGAAGGAAAAATTAATTGAAGTCGAAGACGTCATTATTCAAGAACGGTTAATTCCAATTCCCAAGCGTGAAGTAAAGCATGTAACTAAAAAATTACCCAGATCTGAATATGATCAAATTGTATCTTCTTACCAATTGCACACAGAAGAGAAATTTGACGAGCAACTGTTTAAGAACACTTCAGAACCCCAACTCAAATCTCTTATGGAATTAATGAACGATCCTTACGCCGTACAACACACTAGCCCGACTTTCAGACATTCGCCCAAGCCTTTGGAAATTCCAATGATTCATTACAAAGCAAATCCAGTCGAACGTATTGTAGACAGATGTGTTCCTGTTCCTGTCGAACTCGAAGTCAAACAAGAATACCTATGCCCAACATTGATCCCCGTATGGGAGGAACGTGTTATTACTGTACATTACACGCGTGTCATAGAAAAACCCGTTCCTATAGATGCTTTCTCTAACAAGACACTCATGAATATGTATCTTAAACAAACTAACGACATGGACAAAAAAGCCGAAGACAACTGGCGCAAAAGCAAGAAAAGCATTTTGTCAGGTAAATCTAATCGTATTCCTATATTGGATAAAATGACTGTAGAAGACTGTGAAACCTTAAACTTGAACTTCGGCCCAAGTTTCACATCTGAAGCTGAAGCTGGGACAGTTCGAGTCATTAAAGATCCTATTCCTACTTATTAATTTAAGTGGGTAGTTCAGACAATTCAAATGTACTTAAAGTATATATTTTAATTGTGCACCGGTAAAACTCAAAAAAACCAGTTTATCAAATCGCCAAATTTCATACGGTAGAACCGTATCAACAAGCCTATCACAAGTTTTGTCAATATTTATAAACTAATATATAATAACAAATAAATTTTAGTAACTTTTTATTTGGCCTGATGTTAAAAAAAAAATTTAGCCCGCGAATTCATAAAAAGAACGAAAAAATTTTCAACTATATTTGGTTTATAAATTTTTATGGACAGCTTGGTTAATGACATCTTATTAGCCGCGAATTCTGTAGACAATGATGTTCTTTCTTCTCTGGCAGTCATTGAACTTAAGCTTCGAAATCTACTGACGTACAATGAAGAATACAGTAAAAACGAACTTGAAAAAGCTCTAAAAGATCTTAAAGACAAAACTACAGACTTAGTAAATCACTATAAAGAAACGTTTGAGAGTTGTTTTCTAAAATTTTTTGGTATAAAGCACAGTATCCCGAATAACGTGATTCTTTTTTCCGAATTAGTTCTGCTCATTCACACCCATATCAAACGTACAGCTTTGAAGTTGGGAAGTCCTTTTTTATACTTAAATATTGAACCATATTTAGACAAAATAGTAAAAGTACTCAACAAGGTACGCTCATCTGGGCGAAACAGTGTTGAGTATCCGACCGGTGTGTCGTTACTTTATTGCGCAATTTTCAGTTTCGATGAAGCAAATTTCAAAAATAACGATGTTTGGAAATCAGCTTTGCCGGACTTGATAAAACATTTCAGTAGTTTGCTTTACGTTGACAGCGATGAAATTTTCATCAACCATAAATCTTCAAACGACAGAATTTATTTTCAAATTTCCAGAACGCGCCTCACAAGTCAACTGCTAGTCCAACTCGCGCTCAAACATCATACCTATCCTTTGTTTAAAGCAGTGATATCGTTTCCAGAAAACGTAGACAACTACATTTCTTACTTGTATTCTCTCAGAAAAACAGATCGACTGAAAATTCTACTAAAACTTCCACTGGATTTATGTCTGTCAATCATAACTAGGCTTGAAATTAACGATGTTTTCGATTTTTTTTTACAAAAAGTTAAGATTACTAAGCTGGAAGAATTTGGGTTTTTTACAAAAATAATTTTACATTTGCTTGACTCTGAGGTGAGTAGCTTATTTTGCAAAATGCTTTGTAAAATGCGAAACATTGTCAACACTTTATTTGAATTACCAGCAGACAAACTCTTGCCTATCTTGGCTTACGATGACTTTAACAAGACTTTAATCGAACTAGAATTTAGTAAAACGTCAATAGTAACTTGGCAAATGTGTTTAAAAAACAACTATTTTTCTGATTATGCTTTTATCAATAAGTACATTCTACTGTCTGACATGCAGTTAGATTACAATGGTGTGGCTCTTAAATTTATCACTGTAATACAAAAAGAATTCAATCTGGGCAAAATCAATAATCTGCACTTGTACCACATTTATCTGACTCGACTAAACAAATTCTTACCAATAGCTCTTTTACAAACTCAAAGCTGGTTTAATCTCAACTACTCTAAAAGCATATTTAAAACCATTTCTTGCCAATATATTAGAAGTACTTTAGACATACAAATTTCGATTTCGGATATGTCTGACAATATTCAAAATCACGAAAAAGTAATGATCTCTGATCTGATCTGTTTTTACAGAGACCTAGTATCTATACTGTCTTTCTACTCAGCCGAGTCCCTGATTGACTCAAGCAGTTTATTAAACTTACTACAAGAATCTACTCAAATGCGAGATATTTCTGTCGTTAAAAACTTACTGCTATGCTTCGTTTATAATATCTGCAATATTTTGGACGAGCTCCTTACTTTAAAATATAAAAGTGAAGCGATTACCAATATATGTTCTTTCTTTGACCAGATCATTACTATTATAGTCACACTCGAATCTGGTGACGAACTTATTCAGTCCTTCTTTTACGAAGTTTTCACCAAACTTAAACTTGCTGAACAATCATATTGCGTTATTTTTTCAAACTACATTGTTAAAAACCAGAATGATCTCCTATTAGTTTCTGCTTTGTTCGACGTCCTGATAAATACTTACAAGAACATTTCCGCTTTCGATTTCCCAACAAACAATTTAATTTTAGCGAGCTTAGCTTATCACTTATTTTCGAAATCTTCATATACCCACTTTACGAAAACATCAGCATTCCTACGAAAAGACTCAGACAAATCTAAAATCAGCGTTAATCTAATAATTAAATTTTTCAACGATATCTTTTGTAAACTAGATTTAACTGCAGATGAAAAAAAGGCTTTCTTAGAATTTATTGACAATAAAACATTGCGCTTGGCATTTACCACTGAATCAAATGAATTAAAAATAAAATTAAAGAAATTGAAAATTGAGATAGTTGATTTCTTTAACAAAGATGGTTATATAAAGAAGAAGCATCACTTTTCACCACCTCCATCTTTGCTTGAATCTGCAAATTCGAAATCAAAAAAAAAACAAAAAACGTTATATGAAGAAAAACAATCTAGCATTGATCAAAAATCCATTATAAACAATGATTTCTCCAATGAACAGCAGACAAGGGTTATTGATGAAGATTTCCTCACTCAATGGTTGCAGAAATACCGAGGTAACTTGGATCAACTTGCCGTTCAAGATGAACTATGTCACATATTGAGCAAATTACCCAGCAAGATAACAATTCTTGACGTTCAAAACATGATTAGTAAAAACATTCAGCGAATCATTCTACGTGACGACGTTAACTACAGTTTAAACTTGTTTGTTTACCTGGCAATCAACTACCAGAGTATGTTTGGATCCAAACTACACATCAGTTTTCCAAACTTGCTAAAGGTACTTTGTTATTTTTGCTATAGTAGCATAACGGAAAACAACTCCTTTATACTAAACTTAGCCAATATTGAAAATATTTGCAGCCAGTTAGAAGTAGCTATTACAGATTTTTTATTATCCGAAGACAAACACGCAAAAAAAAATATGAAATATTGGCTTTTAAACATCATACACATCTTATTGATCATTCTCACGCGCTCGGCTTTGCTGTCAACAAATCACAGCTTATTGTTATCAAAAGAATGCGAGGAGTTTGATTGCTATTTACCTACAGAATTGATTGGCGATCTTATACCTCACATACATGAAGACACTGAATCGGTTTATATTAGAAAACAGGTCATCGAAATCTTTTTAAAATTCAAAATCATAGACTTTTTAATTGCCTCTAAGTTTTTAGCTGAGTCTGATAAGTCGCAGAGTTTTGATATTTGTCTACTTTTATTTCAAGAGCTTGTTATTCGGGAACTTTATCGACTTAAGCACAGATATTTATGTGACTTAGAAAAACCTAAACGCAGTGTTATGGGCGTACAAAAAAAAGAAAACACAGAAAGACAAAAGTTTTCTAATAAATTAAAAATGATTCAAACAATAATAACAACAGCGATGGTGTTAGACGACGACACTATTTCCAAAATTTTGAATCGCACGATATGGGCCGGAATTGGCTTAGTGATGTGTACATTTTACAGATCTAATTATCCACCACTTCAAATTTATATAACCCAACCGTTTGAGATATTCGATAATGTGAACTTTACATTTGACTTCAAAACTTTAAAAATTATCACGAGATATTTCAATGTCAAGTCTAAGCACATAAATGACATCATTACTTTGTTTCTCATACTTAAACACTCTTGCTGTACCCCCAGCAACAAGATATATTACGAATCACTTATCAATACGTCTAAACTTATCACGCCTGAGCTGCAAGATCAACCAAAGCTCCAGGAGAGTCTATCGTCATAAATTCGTTTGACAATTCGTTTTTATTAATTTTCAAATCTTGGCAAATGAGCAGGCGTAGTTCTTCATCCTTAAAAATTTTTTCAAGATTGCTTGCAGATCCTTGATACAAATTCACCACAACGTCAACAATCTCAAAC